TCTGTGGCACCTAACAACAACAACAAGCACAACCTTACATTTTTGTCCTATTTCCTGAGATTTCTTTTTTTACTAATTTTAATGAAATTTACAGAGACTTTGGATTTCCATTCATTCATTGTTGCACTTTTCTCCCTGCCCACCTGTCCCCCCAGTACACTCTTCTATTTGAAAAGTAAAAGAAAAATTCTTTCATTGTTTTACAATCCCTCCCCCCAGGTCCACTCCACTATCAGCCTTCACTCTGGACTCCTGTCATGACAAAAATACCTAATCACATATCCCTTTTAAACAGTTTTCTCCCTCATCTGTTTCAATGCAGTATACATTATTGAACCCATCTTTCTCAGTCTCTCCCCAACCCCGAGGTCAGTCCTGTTTTACAACAGTGGCACCATGCACTATTTGTCCCTTTGTGACTGAGATATTTCACTCAGCATAATGTCCTCCAGAGTCACCCATTTTGAATAATATTGCATGAGTTCCTTATTTTTCAGTGCAGCGTAGTATTCCATTGTGTGAATATACCATAGCTTCTGTATCCATTCGTTTGTTGATGGACACTTAGGTTGCTTCCAACTCCTTGCTATCATGACAAAGCTGCGATAAGCATGGGTGTGCATATATCTGCTCGGGTGGCAGTTATGGTCTCTTTGGGGTATATTCCCAGTAGTGGAATTGCTAGGTCAAATGGTATCTCTATTTACAACTTTTTGAGAAAGCGCCACACCGCCTTCCACAGTGGTTGCACCATTTTACACTTCCACCAGCAGTGAATAAGTGTTCCAGTTTCTCCACAACCTCACCAGCATTTGTTGCTTGCCGTTCTGTTAAATTTTGCTAGTCTTACTGGGGTGAGATGATATCTCATAGTTGTTTTGATTTGCATCTCTCTTAGAGCTAGGGATTTTGAGCATTTCTTCATGTGCTTGTTCACCATCTGAATGTCTTCTTTGGTGAAGTGTCTGTTCATATCCTGTTCCCATTTTTCAATTGGATTGTTTACCTTTATCTTGTTGTGGTGACTTCCTGAGATTATTAAAGCACTCTCAACCTGTCTTCTTGATGAGGAGATCCCCAGCATCTACTAACCATTTGTTCTCAGGGCTAACAGATAGAATGGCTGCTTGAACCCGCCTGCTCAGTGGTGCTTCATAAGGATGTCAGAGTGATCTGATTCCATAGAGATTACAGCCAAGAAAACCCAGTGCAGCCAGCACACTTCCCTGCCCCGTGGGGTCCCTGTCAACTCAGTGGCAATAGGCTTAGCTTTTTTTTTTAATGGTCTGAATTGCACCAGAGCAAAAATAGACCTGGCCACTTGGCATCTTTTATAGAATTTGCAACTTTTGGATTTTGGCATGGTCAATTCTAACTGCTTTGTACTTCATGAAATCCTTTTTAAGATTTGAAAATCTGTCTTTAGTGCCTTCTCTCCCCCCCCTCTTTCAGTGGAAGCATATTCTACTTTACACAACTGCCACTTATTACTGGAAGTGGACACTCAGACAAGATATTTACCCGTTACTTAAGTGGAACATCAGATTTCTGATCTATAAAATGAAGCTAATGACTACTATTATCTCATAGAGATTTTGAAATGATTAAATAAGGAATGCATTATGTACTTACCTGACACATAGAAAATGCTCAGTAAATAGTTCTGTTTCTCTGAGAACAAAGACATTTGTCTGCTGTTCTTTAGATAGTGCCTGAGGGGTAAATTTTCACCTTTATTACCCAAAGCAATTTTCAGGGATTTTGAAAAGCTTAAAAATAACATTCATATTGACTGGCTTTTCCAGCACCCTGATTTAGGTAAATGAAACTATTTTCCTCTCAAAGTTTTTCAGGGCTCTATATGGAAAACAGTTGCAGCAATACATTGTCTGAGAATTACCAGAGTTCAAACACAATTTATAAGGATGTAGAACTAGGGTTATCATTGCTAATGTCACACGGATCTTAGCTCAAAGTGGAGAATACCAGAGAGCCGTTTTATTGACTATGCAAAGGCATCAAACCTGTGTAGATTGTAAGTTATGGTTAACATTTCAAAGAGTGGGGATTCCAGAACACTTAATTGTGCTCAGGCAGAAGCAATATTCTCACCACGATGCAGTTGTTAAAAAAAGAGCAAGGGATACTGTATAAAGTCAGGAAAGATGTGTGTCAGGGATGAATCCTTTGATCATGTGTGTTCCGTCTGTAGGCTGAGCAAATAATCAGAGAGGCTGGACTATATGAAGAAAACAAGCATCTGCATTGGAAAGAGACTCCTTGAAGAAGCTGTGTATGCAGATGACACACCCTTGCTTGCTGAAAGCTGGAGGAACCTAAGTACTTACTTAGGAAGATTAAAGAGGAAATCCTTCCACATAGATTACATCCTGAACATAAAGAAAATAAAAATCTTCACAACTGGACCAATTAGCAACATCTTGACGAATAGAGAAAAGAGCAGTGTTGTCAAGGGTTTCATTTACATAGAGGCATAGACGATGCCTTGGGAGCAGCTGTCCAGAAATCAAAGGATGGAGTGTTTTGTAATTGGTCAGTATTCCATGAAAAACTTCTTTACAATGTTAGGAAAAAAGCAAAGATATCACTTCAAGGATCTAACCGATTTTAACCAAGGTATTTTCATATGCATGAGAAACCTACAAAGATTGAAGAACTGGTATCTTTTAAGTGTAGTTTTGGTGAAGAATATTGAATAAACCGTGGATCGCTACAGTGAATGGATTTGTTTTGCAGGAAGTACAATCATGTTCTTTAAACTGTTTAAAGAAGGATGTTCTTTAAAAGCGAGGAAGAGGAGGCCTTGTTTCACATGATTTGGATGTGTTACTGGAAGCACTAGTCCCTGGAGAGGGACATCATGCTTTGGAAAGTAGAGGGTCCGTGAAGGAAGAGGTGGGTTAATACAGAGGCTGAGTCAGTTGGCCCGAAGCAAGATTGGGAGGATGGGGCAAGACTGGGAACTGTTTCCGTTTCCTCTTATTGTGCATAGGGCTGCAGTGAGTTGGGGCCCTCACAATGGCAACTAATAACAACATGCTCGTGTCATGTTAAGTCCGGATAGTGACTCTCCTGTTGTATTATAAGGGAGTGCTGGTAGTGGAGTCCATAGAGGATTGTGCTGCTAACTCAGGCTTCTCGGGCATTTAAAATTCACCATCTGCTCTTTGGGAGAAAGAAGGGTAGTTGCATCCTCTGTGATTGACTGCCTTGGAAACCCACTGCAGGGTCAACTATGAACTAATTTAAAGGCAATGAGTTTGAGGATTGTATTATGTATCTGTACGTATGTGCATGTGTGTATGTATGCAGGCGTACGTGAGTATATGTAGACAGATGAAGCCTCATGCATGTGTGTGCATATGCATATATAAATGGATAAAAGTTAACTGAGAAGATCCTTTAACTCTTTAAAATATAACTTTTTGTTGACAAAATAATTGATTGGCATTAAAAGAAATTAGAATAATTTTAAGTCCTGAAAATTTGAGGGAATGTTTCTAATTATATAGTTTCATGAACGTGTTTAAAATAGAAAGGGATTGCAAATATACAAGAGAAAAGGATAAGAACAAAAGCAGTATAGAACTTTGAGACTGGTGACTCCCGCCGTCGCAGTCCTGGTGGACGAAGTCAGGATACTGCTGTGGCTGCCTGAAGTGGCACTCACATGGCCTCACTCTGCTCTGCAGGTCTTTCAAAAGTGCGTTTGATTTTCATTCTTTTTCCACAGACTAATTTTTGGGTTGAAGGGTGTACGCCAGGGATGCATCCTGTCTCCATACCTTTTCAACATGTATGCAGAGCAGATTATCCGAGAGGCTGGGCTCTATGAGGAGAAGTGTGGCATCAGGATTGGTGGAAGATCTATTAACAATCTGAGTTATGCAGATGACACAACCCTGCTTGCTGAAACTGAGGAGGACCTCATGCACTTGCTGCGAAGGGTCAAGGACTGCAGCCTTCAGTATGGACTGAGGCTCAATGTCAAGAAGACAAAGATTCTCACCACTGGACCAATTGGCAGCGTCAGGATGGATGGCGAAGAGATTGAGATTGTTCACAGCTTCAGTTTGCTCGGCTCCACAGTCAACACTCTTGGCACCAGCAGTCAGGAAATCAAAAAGCGTATCGTGATGGGAAAGTCTGCTGTCAGGGACCTCTCTAAAGTACTCAGGAGCAACGGTGTCTCTCTGGAGACTAAGGTGCGCCTGATACAGGCCATGGTATTTGCAATCACTTGTTATGCATCAGAGAGTTGGACAATGACTAGGGAGGACAGAAGGAGAGTTGATGCTTTTGAGCTGTGGTGCTGGAGAAGAGTACTGAATGTACCATGGACTGCCAGGAAAACAAACAGATTCATCTTGGAGAGGATTAAACCAAGCTACTCCTTGGAGGCAAGGATTCTGGGGCTTTGTCTGACATACTTTGGACATGTTGCCAGGAGGGACGGGTCCTTGGAGAGGGACATCATGCTTGGGAGGGTGGAGGGACAGCGCAGGAGGGGAAGACCCTCTATGAGATGGATTGATTCGGTGACTGGGGTAATTGGGATGGGTGTGTCAGAGGCGGTGCGGTTGGCGCAGGATAGAGCAGGGTTTAGGGCTGTTGTGCATAGGATCGTTATGAGTCGCAAACGACTGGACGGCTCATAACAACAACACAACAACAATCTGTCTTACTTTATCATTGAAGCCATCGGTACAATATTTAATCTTTCAGTGTCTTTTTCCTCTTATGTAAAATGAAATAATCAATGTATACCAAGGGTTATGAAGCCAAAATCAGTTTCAGCTGAGATTTAGTGAGGAAAACGGTGATTTGAAAATTTCCCATAACAGTAAGGAAGCCCTGCTTGTGGGTCATTGCTCTATCTCATTTCTTTGGTTTAATGTCTTAATTCTTTTTTTTTTTTTACTCTGCTATGTCTTAAAATGACTTAAAGTAATTATTTCCATGATTTTGTTTTCTTCTAGGTTAACTGAACCTTCTGGCTATTTAACAGATGGTCCAATTAACTACAAGTATAAAACTAAGTGTACGTGGCTAATTGAAGGCTAGTAAGTACACGTTTTGAGTTGGCTTAATTTATTTTATTATAGAATGTAAAGAATGTGATCATATCAATGTTAAAGCATTACAATGTAATGACTTTATATAGTTTAATTAGTTGCTTTTCATTAGCCATAGTTAGGGACAATAAGTTTTTAATGGGATTCCCATGTTTAATATAAATTGTGGCATTCTTCCACCTGTAATATGTTTAATTTGTACATAGGTTAGTAATTTTTTAGTTATGGTACTGAGGTAGTCTAAATTAAGTCAGAATTTTGGGCTGGTTTTCAGCCTCATTTAGAATTTGAAGATTCCATGAAAGTAGCTATTAAAAAAGTTCCATGATGAGCTATGCAAGCGATTAATAAAATGTCATTGTTTTACACGTAAGAATGTTAAAAAACTATCCTTTTCATTTAAGAGAATGCTAATTATCTAGTTAGAGATGGTTTTTCTTGCTGCATTAGACCTTAAAACATCATTTATTTACTTAAACATATTATGAATAAACTATAAATTGACATGAGTTCTTTTGGCCCATTTTATGAGATCTGGAAAATATAGTAAAAATCATTCTTAAAAGCGTAAAGCTCTTTTCTGTTCTGTATCGATGGTCTCAGGTTTTTTATTTTTTTATTTTTTCCTAATAATATTTCACACTGAGACATTTTTATTAAAACCTGAGCACTTTGTTATTGCCATTAGTTAAGGAAAACAGAATAATTGCCTTTTTAGTAAGTCTAGATTTCTAAGAATCAATTTTATTTTATTCAAGCATATTGACATACAGTAAAATATATGCATTTTACATGTTCTGTACAGTAATGTATACAACTTACACATGCTCCACTTCAATCAAGATGTAGAACATTTTCTATTGATTATATTTTTAGAAAATGATGAAGCTTGCCTAAGGCTTAATAGAGTATAAAGTTATACATCAGTTTTACAAATTACATACGATGGCTTATCAATCTTACGTATCGATGATTTAAGGATTTATAGCAGTCTTGTCTGTAAATGGGTTTTTAATAAAATTTTATCTGTAATTTCTTCAGACTTTGTATGTTATATATTTTATTTATTTATTTATTTATTTATTTATTTATTTTACAGTCCAAATGCAGTGTTAAGATTAAGATTCAATCATTTCGCTACAGAGTGTAGCTGGGATCATATGTATGTTTATGATGGAGATTCAATCTATGCACCTTTAATAGCTGTACTTAGGTGAGTAATGATGTTGAGAATCTTTTTATGTGCTTTTCTGACCATCTGCATATCTACTTTGAAGCAATGCCATTCAGATCCTTTGTCGACATTTCACATATGTGTTGATGAAGCATTGTTGAGTTGTAGTTCTTCACATATTCAGGATAACACAAACCAAAATGTTACTGGCTAGTTAATTCTGACTCAGAGAGACTGCCCCTTAGGAGCCGGATAGAACATACATATAGGATTTTCAAGGCAGACTTCTTAATTTTTTTTCTCTTATGGAGTGCCTGGTGGATTTGAATCCCTGACCTTTTGGTTGGCAGCCAAGTACTTTCCTTCTGTGCTACCTAGGCTCCTTCATATTCAGGATATCAACCCTGGTCAGATTATAGATTATTATTTACTGTAGTCTGGTTTCAGGTTAATAATATTATTACTTGTAATGAATGCTGGACATTGTTTTCAGAAGAATATGTAGTTATAATTTGTGGCCGTGGATGATGTTCTATCCTCCAGAAAGTGCTTAGCGACGCCAGCAATCCATCCTCTCAGTCCAGACTCGGATTTTGTGATCTACACCTGAGCAGTAGCACGTTCCCCCTTAAGGAGCTGTCTGTTTTCCTAGTTCAGTTTTAGGCCTGGTAGTTGAGGTCTCTGTTCAAAGTGACTGTCATTTTGTTCTGTCTGCTATGATTTGAACAAGCGAATTCAGTTCCTAGCAGTGCCCAAGCATAACGTTACGCTGTGTTTGAGGGACTTGGTTATTTTGAGTTGTGTCAGTTGATAGATGTCTCTTTGCCTCCTCCTCTGGCACATTTTCACTGGTAAAGAGGTGGTTGTTGTTAGGGGCCATCAAGTCTATTCCAAGTCACCTCACAGCCACCTCCGACCCCCGTGTTGAGCAGAACAAAGCCCCCCGTGTTGAGCAGAACAAAGCGCCAGCGGTCCTGGGCCTTCCGCACAATCTCAGCGGTGCTCCACCTCTTGTTGTGCTCACAGTGGGAGTCCATCTCCTTGAAGGGTTTCCTCTTTTTCACTGACTTACCACTTTTCCACCTGTGATATCCTTCTCTAGGGATTGGCCCCTCCTTATAACACATGTAAAGTACGTGGGACGAAGCTCCACCTTCCTTGCTTGTAAGGAGCACCCTGGTTATTCTCTCTCTTGCTGCACTTCTCCAATGAGAAATGTCAGCAGGGTATAACTAACGGTGGCTGTTTGGAGATAAGTGCATTCTCTTCCCACGACCCACAACAAAACCCACCACTCCCACCGAGTCAGTTCTAACTCAGCATGGCTTTGGATGGCGGAGCAGAATGGCCTCTTAGTATTTGTCATGCTGCAGTATTTTATGAGTGCACAGACAGCCCCATCCTTCTTTCACAGGACAGCTGATCTTTTAGTTGGTAGTCCAGTGCCTAATGCACCGTGACACTGGGGTTCCCCCTGAACACGGAAGATTAAAAGGAGGAAACATGAATCACTAATTTAGAACTCTTACTTTTGTTCTAAATTTATTTAATTATCCACAAATCGAGCTTTTGTGTCCATCTGGGTTGAAAGAAGCAATACTTGTCTGTTGTGGGATAGTGACACAGTAACTTAATTTGTATAAGTAAGCAACCTTACATAGGAGTCCTGTTTTACAACAGTGGCAATATGCAATATTTGTCCTTTTGTGCCTGAGATATTTCACTGAGCATAATATCTTCAGGGTCACTCATTTGGTATAATATTTCATGCCACTGTTGTAAAGTGGGACTGACATCAGGGTTGGAGGGAAAGTAAGAGGGGATAAATAATGTATATAGTATTGAAATAGATGAGGGAGAGGACTGTTTAGGAGGAATATATGATTAGATATTATTGTCATGACAGGAGTCCAGAATGAAAGCTGCATAGTAGAGTGGACTAGGGGAGGGGGTTGTATAACAATGAAAGAATTTTTTTGTTTGTTTGTTTACTTTTCAAAGAGAAAAACTAGGTGGAGGAATGGGCAGGGAGGAAATTGTACAATGAATGAATGGAAATCCAAAGTCTCTGTCTACTTTCATTAAAATAAATTAAAAAAAAACCCCAAAACAAAACAAAAAAGAAATTGAGAAGATGTTAAAAAAAAGAATTACATGTTTTAAAATTACTTTCTGAATCTACATCAATGTATTGGAAATCATTACTATCACTGGAGTGCCTTGTACACACATACCTGTGGTGTGGTGGTGAACTTTCCAGCATCCTTAGAGTTGGTAACCATTGAGAAAAGGGTAAGGCCAAAGGGTCACTTGTTGGAGTCTAGGGGAGTCTTCCCTGTAATAACATGACTATCGAGACCCTATAAACAGCAGATCTGAACCCTGTCCTATTCTGTGCCATCCTCACCGTCTCTGACACACGTGAGCTCATTGCTGCACTTACTGTGTCAGCCCACCTGGTTGAGGGTCTTACTCTCCTTCACGGTCCCTCTACCTTCCTCAAGCTTGTTGTCTCTCTCCAAGGAATTAGCCTCTTCTCGAAATATGCCCAAGGTAGGTGAGATGATCTTTGTCTCCAAGGACTACGCTCACTGCATCTTCTCCAAGACATACTTGTTTGTTCTTTTGGCCTCCATGGGATGCCCATTCCTCTACTCTAACACCACAAGTACTGAGATGGAGAACAGGAGGTGAAAGCGGGAGGATTGAGAGTAGATTATTAGTGTATTGTTGATCAATTTTGCTCTTTTAGTGGTTTAATAGTCCCTGAAATAAGAGGAAATGAAACGGTGCCTGAAGTTGTCACAACGTCTGGCTATGCGCTGCTACATTTTTTCAGTGATGCTGCATACAACCTAACTGGCTTCAACATTTTTTACTCGTAAGTATTCTTTAACAACTCAGTGTTCTAATCATTGTTTCAATTCGACTTAAAAGAGTTTGTAGTTTATGTGTACAGATACCTTCCTTCCCAGAAGCAGGCTGTATAATTTGAAAATGTTCATGAACATTTTCAAATTATTATACTGTTCATGAACATTTTCAAAATATACAGGATCCCTTCCTAGGTGATGTGCAGTGTGAGGAAATTAGGATAATTTCCGAGTTCCTAAGACGCTATGAAATCAAATTAAATTTAGTTGACAATTAATTAGAAAATTTGAGGCTGCTTGTTGGGAAAGGATTAAGCAAACGAGTATAAAATGTAAATGAATTTGGACCGGCAGATGTGGAGAGTCTTAGGGGGACCTTGTGTGCTCCTCTTGTGGAGAGGGGGATGGGAGCTGTGATTCTGCAGGGCTTTCAGATCTCAAGAGCTGTGCTGAGCGTGTTGTGGGCACGATCTCATCACTGTCTACGTGATGAAATTGAGGGCGAAGAGATAAATAGCTGCACTACTTACTGGCTTTTCAAGGAGGAGAATGAATACTGAGATTCTTGAACGACAGATGCATCACCTGAAGTTGAGATCTGGAGATAAGGAGGGAAGCCATCAGACATGCTGTTAGGTTCTTTGGCCGGAGCTCTCAGGGGAGCTTTGTAAATAAATGTACTTTTTCCTTGTAACCAGGCATCTAGGAATTGATAATCACCAGATCATCATCAGAAATACTCTAATTATTCTGTAATCAGAAACTTGTTACAGAATTTATGTGTCTCAAGTAGGGAGACACATAGGGAGAATAAATATACATGAGCATATGATTGTTTAGAGTTTTAAAACAGAATTTGGTAAATATTCCATCTCTTCTGTGCATGTGCTGGTGACAGTGCCTTGGTTAAGTCCAGTGATGCCAGAAAGCTGATCTACACAGGACCGAAGTTTTCTGTCTTATACAGAAGACTTTCTGTTGATCTGTACCACAGAGACACTCAGTGAGTTTTTCCTCTCTGAAAGTTCCACTTTAAAGTTCCACTTTCATGCAGTTTTTGGCTCTGACAGATTTTACTGTATAACTAGGTTATAGCTTGCATAGGATTTCAGGAATTCATGAAGTTGATTTTATGTTTTTAATTAAATATATAGTTAAGCACAGAAGACTTTACCAACCACTAACCTTGAGACTGCATCGAGCGTGTGTTCTTCAATGTATGGAGTTGCAGTAGCAAAGTGAACACATTGGCTGAAAGAAGACAAATTACAAATGAATGTGAACTGAATTCTACTAAGGAATAAAAACATACAGAATAAAAAAAAATTATAGCCACGCCTTGAAATTGTGATAAACACTTAAGGCACGACATAAACTTTATGATGCTCAAGTTACAATTCTTTAACAACGCTATGTTATAATCATCCTTTTAATTTGACTTAAAAGAGTTTGTTGTTTGTTTGTATGGATATTATCCATACCACAGGAGTAGGCTAGTGTATTAATTTTCAAATTTTATAGGAAAGAAAGACAAAGAACATTTAAAAAAAGGAATATTTTAAAAACATATTTTATTATTATAGATTATAAGGAACCAAAATGGTTTTCAAGGATACTGACCTTGAACATGCATGAACTCTCTTTTACAGCATCAATTCTTGCCCGAATAATTGCTCTGGTCATGGGAAGTGTACCACCAGCGTGTCTGCTCCGAGTCAAGTGTACTGCGAATGCGATAAATACTGGAAGGGGGAAGCGTGTGACATTCCTTACTGTCGAGCCAACTGCGGCAGTCCCGACCACGGCTACTGTGACCTGACGGGAGAGAAGCTGTGTGTCTGCAATGACAGCTGGCAGGGTGAGCGCACATGGCATGACAGCTTTTGGAACTTCGGTTCGTCGATCTTGTAGGCCAATATAAGCTTCTGCGCTGATTTGCTTATTATCATTTCCCACCCCAATTGGCTGTGATTGCGTTTACTTCTAGAGTGTTTGGTTTAAGAAGCAACTTCTTAATCATCTGCTATACTTCTTCATAAAAAGAAGGGGTGACGATTTCACTGTGTTGAGGACCAGCTGACAAGTTGTATACGCAGGCTCTTTGTTAATTGTAACTTAGTGGAGTCTGTGACTTTTTCTGCAGCTAACCGAAAGGTTATGTGTCTTTGACCATGCAGCTCCACCAGCATCTCTTTGAGAGAAAGATTAGCAGTCTCTTCCCTTTAAAATGTACAACCTCACAATGAAAGAATGAAAGATTTTTTTTTCTTTTCAAAGAGAAAAACAAACTGGGGTCGGGGGAGGATGGACAGGGAGGGAAATGTACAATAATGAATGAATGGGGAAAAT